CCCCAAAGGGGGCCGCGGAGGGGTGTCCCGGGACCGCCCCCACCTGCTCATGCCGGCCCCAAGCGGCGCTGCCGTCCCCCAGCACCGGAAGGGCCGCGGGTGGCGGCGCCTTTAAGGAGCCCCATGGGTGCCGCGCGCCGCTCTACACCGCCCCGCGCCGCTTCCGCCCCGCAGCCACCGCCTCGCGCATGCGCCCTGCGGCACGCAGCGCCCCCTGCCGGCCTGGAGGACGCGGGCACGTGGGGAGGGGGAGCACGTGGGGGGCTGCGGGGTCGGCGGAGCTCGTGGGAAGTGCTCTGCACGCTCGTCGTGCTGGCGGAAGCACGCCTTGCACACTTACACCCTGGAAGCGCTGGGGCTGGCACGCTCACAGTTGTGGTGCTGTCGAGGTGCGTGCTGGAGGCAGCAGGGCTCGCACGCTCGCGCTGTTGGGTGAGCAGTGCGTGTGTGTGCACGCAGCACTGGGTGCAGGCGGCAGGGATTGGAGGTTTGTCTGAGCAGGGAGAGCAGCGAACGTTGCCCCAGGGGCAGGGCAGCACCTCGGCAGCCGTGCAGGGCACTGCCCCAGTTGGAGCCTGTGCAGCCAGCTGTTCTGAGTGCATCTCACACAGCCCCAACCTCCTTTCTGGGGCTGGAGAAGAGAGGGAGGGGAGCAGCTGAGGTCTTCAGCTTCTGGTCTTCCACTTACAAGCAGCTGATGTGAGGAGGAGGCTCCTCAGTCCCTCCTCTGGCCTTGCAAAGGAAAATGCAACTAAAAATGTGCTGCTGTGCTTAGAAGTGAGGGCCCCAAAGCACCCGCAGGTAACAGGAGCCCTCTTTGTTGCCTCTGTTAGGGGTGGGGGTTTGCATGCGAGGCTGAGATCCTCTGTGTGCTTAATATAGCTGCACAGTAATATTCTTTGTGCTGCACTGAACGTGCTGCTGTTTCCTAAGGAGAGGAACACAAAGAAGTGAGCTCTTCAGCACGGCTTTATCCCTGCTCATCTTTTCATCTCAGGATGCTTTTGGCTTCTGCCCTGACGCAGGGGACGGGAGCAGAGCTGCAGGAGGATGGGAGGGCTCTGACCTGGCCCTGCCCAGCCCTGCAGGCTGCCAGCGTGCGTCCTGGACAGGAGAACCAGGACAAAGCCAGGATTCTCCAGCTGTGTGT